CACAGCTGCTTGTTATTTTCATGGAAATACAACTTTATTGCCCAATCCAGCTTCCATTTCCTGCAGTACTGGAAGAAGGGAGGGGTAAAAATGTGTCCAGCTCATTATCTGTTCTCATGACCACCAGCCTTGTACAGCCAAGAGCCTGGGGGTCAGCATCAACACCCCTAAACCTGCTCTTGCCAGCCCAGTCTGTGCACACACACCCTCCCCTGTGGAAAAAAAAATGTAACTAGACAGATCCCTTCTGAAAACAAAGCCAAAGCTCAGGGCATCTAGCCTTGCCTTTCCAGCCTCTGCTCCCCGTGGGCTGAAATAAAACCCTTAGGGATGGTTGTGCCCTGGAGGGGCTGTCAGCAGGCAAAGGCAGCAAGGCTCACCTACCTGAGAGTGGCACTGGAAGCCAAAGTAAACCACCACAATGGTAGGAAGCAGCACAATGGTGAAGATAACAAACATCAAGAGCAAATTCATGAAGAAGACCAAGGAGTTCATGGTGACTACCAGGAGGGTCCATGCCAAGCAGCACCCAGCACTCCGTGGCTCTCTCGGAAGGAGCTGGTCATCCATGTCATATGGTGGGAGGCTGGGAAGCATCCGAGACTTATCTGAGAGGTTTTCTGCTCCAAAGTCCTCAATGTCCTGGCCAGACATTCTTCCAAGTAGATTGCTAATCAACTCAAGCTCTTATCCAAAATGGTTTATTTGCCTGTGGCAACAGACCTGGAAAGTCACTTGCAGAGGCTTTTCCTGACTCTTCCACACATGGAGCAGAACACTTAAGCAGAGATGATACTGGAGCAAGGAAGGAGAGCCCACAGGTTGTTTCCTTTCAGAATGTTTTCCAGTGGTGTCCCAAGCTCAGTTTCAAAGTAGATGTGGCTGTTGGAAGTTTGGCAATAGCTATTATTTTGCTTTAGAATCCATAGTACTCCTGAATTTGTGGTTGTCCTTCCTAGGATTATGATCCCAAGAGATCCCAAACAGTTGTTGTCTTAGCTTTGATAGGCTGCTTGGTCTGAGAGAGCACCTGGCATTAGTATCCTGCTCCACCTTTAAGCACTGCTGTTTGTAAGATTATCAGGCTTAGGCACTTCCAGACAGCTCCTTGACTTCAAACCATCTTTCCATGCTCTTCACCCTGAACCCAAGCAAATATTCCTGCTCAACTCTCATCCAGATGAAGTACCTGGTGAAGATAATGAACTGCAGAGGTTTCTCCACCCCCTGCCTTGCTGGAGTCTTTGCCCACACCTTGCAGAGCTGGAAGCAAAGTCTGGAGCAGTGTGTGGTTCCCCTGCTCTCAGCTGTCTGCAGCCACAGGCACTCAGCCACAGGCAGTGCCTCCCTTTCCCAGCTGGCTCTCCGAGCTGTGCATCGCTGCTGTTCAGCGAGACTCTGAAGCTGCCTCCTGTGCTGGCCAATCCTTTACATCTGCCTCACCACTCCAGTGATTTAGCACACAGCACCCAAGAGCCACACTCAAACCATACATTCCCAGGGCAAGACAGATCCTTTTCAATTGTAATTATTCTGCCTCTGATTAATCTTCTACATTTTCTTTCTAAATTAAAAACCTCAGAGAAATTTATAATATTCTCTATATACCTCAGAAACCTCCTGGTTCTCTGCAGTCAACACTGGTTTTGTTTGCAGAACATATTGGTATTCTTGTAGTAAAGGCAGAGCAATTATAAAGTATTTCATCTGCCTTATAAAAGTGATGTTACTTCAGAATTTCAGTGATATCTGCACATTTTAGAGACATTCATATCTGCACAATCATGGTACTGCAGGAGGGCAAAAACTTCCTTAAGTCCAGAGGACAATGAGGTAGCACAGGTCTTACCAGAAGGCAGAGATGACCATGGCACAGGCAGGGAAGGAATCCAGGAGTCCTGTGTTGCACTTGATGCTGTTTCTCTCACAAACTTCTGCCCTAGAAAAAAGTTATCAGAAAAATGAGGTTCATACAAGGCTAAATGTAAGGTGATGTTATATCCCAGTGAGGGGTAGCTTTCCTCAATTCAACCCTTCTGCTGAAAGATGTACATTTGGGGTGCCCACTCCCCTGCTGTTGTTGGGTGTTTGGGTACCTTTACCAGCCTTACTGATTTCCCAACCAGCTGCAGTGACATGCAGAGCAGAATTAAAGAGAGTTTTCTCCAGGGACTTGGACAGGTCTGCTTAGGAAGCATTTACTGGTGGCTCATCAGAAGAGCTCTAGCCCCCTAAGTTAGGGCTAGAGGACCTCTGGGCAGCTGCATCCCAACCCATGGCTTTGCTGGGGAGATGTTTGTGTATGTGACTCTTTGTTTCTGAGCTGCAGCTCTCTCACCATCCCCACCGGGTTTGTTTGTTATTATTTATTCTTTCTGTTAAGTTCTGTCACAGAACAGTGAAGAAGAAAAAAAAGTTGATGTGCCAGGAGAGGGGAGAGTGCCAGCATTGCCAGCAGCCTGTATCCTGATTTGCTCCAGAAGGGATATGCTGGTAAAGAAAAGCAAATACTAATTTGTAGCACAGATTAAAGTCAACATCTGTCTGTATCAAACTCAGCTGCTTTGGAAGGAGGAGGGCAGGGAAAAGAAGTGTGAAATCTAGGAAGCAATTACTCTCCCTTGGGCAGCAGGCACCAAGAGCTGCTGGTATTGGACTGACCACTGAAGCTTTTTGCCCACCTGCCAGTTTCCCAGTCACAAAGGGAAGTCCTGGATCACCTGAGCCTCCCTCACCAGAGAGAAGTGAGAGCAGAAGCACAGAGCTGAGTAGAAGGGGTTGAAGGAGACATCAGCTGAATTTCTCTGTGGGCAACTGCCCTGAGGAACCCTGTTTCCTTCCACTGAAAAATTATTCTTGCATTTGATTACCCCCCCAATGGAGTGCTAAAGAGCACCTAGGGCACTGCAATCCACTGCACACTTTCATCCCAGGGTATAATGTTTTTCCTTGTTTTCCAATCTGAAAAATATCCCTGAAAATTACTCCTTTAAACTGCTTCTAAATTCACTTACCCCACCTCTACACTGTAAATCAAAAAACAATAGAAAACTCTCTCCCACATATTAAGACATTCCTCTTGTTTTCCATTTTCAGGTGTCAAGCACTGAAATATTTTTGGAAGTTGTACTAACTAATCCAAACGTTTAGCATTGATTTTGAAAGCACTGCAGCTGACAGATCAATTTGGTTTTAGCAACACAGTAAATCCCAGAGGCTGCTCTGTTTGCACAGCCACCTTCCTGGGAGAGGGGGAATGAACTGTCAAATTTTTTTTAGTAATAAATGCATGAGAGAGAAAGGAAAAAAAGACACACAGAGAGAAACAACCTTTGGGACAGCGATCAGAGTATGAAAAGTCCATTTTCATCTTGTTCCTTCAGTGCTGTCTCAGGGTGAATGGCTCCTAGGGGAGAGCACAGGGTAGCAGCCTTCTCTCAAGCTGCAAGATGTGGAATCTCATCATGGGTCCATGCAGACATCCACAGGGAAATAACTACTGAGCCCACCCCACTTCCAGTCATTGCACAGGCCAGGCACGGTGTTAATAAAGCTCAAAATCTGTGCAGGAAGCCAGATGGCACTGGATGCAATAAATGTGACAAATGGTCACATGGAAATGCTACCAAAGTGTCTCCGTGTTTACGAGGCCTGTTCTGGCAACCACTGATTTAAACCTGCAATACTTTTCCAGCTTGATTTATGCCTTCCTAGTGGAGAAAGGTCAAGACAAACACACAAAAAATACCCCAGAACCATAGGAAGTAGAATATGGGTTCACCTTAGTCCACCAAAAGATTGTGAACTTGGTGCTGGGCAATTAAAAATTCCATAAGGAGATGTTCTAACAAGCTACTCCCCATCACCACATGGAGTCTCCTTGTGCCAGTTCTATTCCTTTGTAAATCCAAAGGGATTTTACCATCTGTCAGCAAGGACATGGTGGTGTGGTAAAAAAGCAAAGATGATGAAGTAGTCATAAAAATGCCATAAATTCTAAACCCAGTGAAACCTTCCAAAGTTCTTTTGTTATAATGAAAATGCATCTTAACCTGTGGGAGGTCTGAAAATTGTATTCTTTAAATTTATTTTCGTTTGGAAAGAAAAACCACACACATTGTAAGGATTCTTCTAATAACCAAGTGAACTTTGTATCAAACAAACTCCAGTGATGACAAGAAAGTTTCCCCAAGCCTCTAATTCTGTGAAATTTCCACATCCTTAACAAATACCTGCCCATAAATGGGAAAGATGTCTTGGTGATGGTGCAAGATATGGAGCAGTTCCTAAGAGCAGCATCACTGCTTTGAGATGCTGAAACTGGTAATGATTAAAGATGATCAGACACAATAATTAGCACTCTGACAGCAGAGTCACTTGCTGCTAAGGAGTCATTTTTTCCACTGTCTATAGTGACAGCACCATCTTGTGGCTTGCTCCTAAATTTTCATTCTACATCTCACAATCACCCACAGAAGGAGACTAAGACACGCTACTCAGTGTGCAAGGACAAGAAGTGTATTGAGGGGCTGGAGGGTGTCCAGAGAAGGCCAATGGAGCTGGGCAAGGGTGTGGAGCACAAGGAGAAGGGTCTGGAGCACAGGATAAAGTTTGGGGCACAAGGAGGGGGTTTGAAGCACAAGGAGAAGGGTCTGGAGCACAGGATAAAGTTTGGGGCACGAGGGGGTCTGAAGCACAAGGAGAAGGGTCTGGAGCACAAGTCTTAAGAGGAGCAGCTGAGGGGTGTCCAGCCTGGAGCAAAGGAGGCTGAGGGGAGACGTTCTGGCTCTGCAACTGCCTGAGAGGAGGCTGGAGCCCATGAGGTCTGCCTCTTCTCCTAAGGAACAAGTGGTAGAACAAGCAGAAACAGCCTCAAGTTTCTCAGGGGAGGTTTAGATTGGATCTTGGGAATTATTTCTCCCCCAAGGGCTTGTCGGGCCCTGGCCCAGGCTGCCCAGGGGACTGGTGGAGTCCCCATCCCTGGAGGGATTTCAGTCGCAGCGCGGCCGCGGGGATGGTTGTGCTGAGCGCTCCGCGCTGGCTGCGCAGCCGCCTGACCGACCGCTTCTGGAGGGTGCAGGAGGTGCTCAAGTATGCGCGGGTGAGTGCGGAGGGTTGGCGGGCAGGGACGCGGGGAAGGCTCCCGGTGTGTCCCCCTGGAAACCAGGTCAGCGTTTTCTGATGCCCCTCCACGTGGGTGTCGTGCAATAACGTGCATTAATTACAATGAAATAACAATTCAAACCACGTGGAGGGAAGAATAAGGGCAGTCGGGGTCTTTAAGGTGGCTGCCAACCCAAACCATGTTGTGACCCCCACCGTTGTGGGGGTTTTTGTTGCTGTTGTTTTTCTTGAACTGGGCTGAAAAATAACCCCGCGAAACGAACCTCACTCCTCAGGTGCATTTTGGAAGGTGGAAGAGGCTGTTTCACATCATGGTTTCAGCCTAGGCTGGGGAAGAATCTTCTAAAAGGGGAGGCTGTGAGGTAGTGTGTCTTGCTCCAGTATTTGAGATGCAAAATGTTGACATAAGTGACAGTGTCTTGCTCTCACGGTGCCCAAGCTGCCCTCAGTGCCAGTAGTTCTTTTTTATTCTGACTGTGCAGCTACTTCTTCCTTCTGCATATTGGTGGCAGCTCCAGTGAAGTGCTTTTTTGGGGCAGCTGCAGTGGTTTTGACATATCAGAAGCTCCTGTCCCATCCCTGTGTTCCAAAACTGAGAGAACACCTCAGGAATGAGGATAAATGTGTGAGTTTTGGGGTTGGCTGAGAGCAGTGAAGATAATTTTGCTGGAACCACAGCCTCAGGTGAGGTCTGGCTTTGGCTCTCTTCTTCTGGACTGAAGTTTTCCAGCCTGCTCCACCTTTTCAGTCTTCAGTTTTCCAGTAAAACAGAATATTTCCATTCTGAGCCAACCGAGGGCTTGGCTGATGCCTGTGAAGTATTTTATGACTCTTCTTGTAAGGAGACGTGAAATGCAAAATAGGGAATGTTAGTATTACTGGAAGAAGGGTTGACCAGCCCCAGAAGGTGACTGAACAAGAACCTCTTGGTTTTGCTGCAGCATTTCCGTGGGAGGAAGAACCGCTGCTACGCGCTGGCTGTGCGGAGCGTTCGCAGGGCTTTCGTGAAGTCCACCAAGGCCAGGAGGGAGAAGAAGCGGATCCTCAGGGGGGTAAGGAGCTACATGGCACTTCCAGACATCAGAAGAGCCATTTTCTTGGCTCAGTTATCTCAGTAATTATCAATTATTGGCTTGTTATCTCAAAATGTTTCACCTGCGAGTGAAAAAATACCAGTTTGAAGTCAGCGCGGTCCCTCTGAGGTGTGAAACAGCTCAAATCCTGAAGTCTCACACCTGTATATCTTGCACTGTAGGTCTGAAAACATTGTATTTCCTGAGTCTGAGCAGATCAGCACGACTGAAGGTTTACTTGTAAGTAATTTTGTCATCAAATGTCTTAATTTTTACCCTTTTAGCTCTGGATCACTCGGATCGAAGCAGCTTCTCTTGAACATGGTTTGAAATACCCAGCTTTCATAAGCAATCTGTTCAAGGTAAGGATGGGGCTTGAAGAATAATTACTTTGAAGCAACAAATGAGGTCTTCTGAAGTCCCAGGCAAATTAAATTTCATTGTTGCTCTGCTCCTTGTTCTGTCCCCAAAACTTGAAGAGTGAGATGTGTAAAATGCTTTTACACTTGTTGCTGCTGTGGGCATGAAGTGACAGGTGCCTTTACTTCAAGAAACATTAAAATACAAAGCTTGGAATAGCAAAGAAACCCTAAGAAATCTCTGCCCTTTTCACTGCTAGCTTTGTCTTTCAGTCAGCATGGCCCCTGCAGGGAGTTGGTGCCATTGCCCCTTGTTCTTAAACATGCTGGGCAATTGGTTTTAATGTGTTGATGCTGGAACTGTAAAATTAAAACTTACGTATCTCAGCCGTGGTCTGAATAAAAAGGTCGTGTTTCTGCTTCTTCAAGTGGTGCTACACATAAACTTACAGCTTATTTCCAAACATTTTATCTGTGTTTCAAATAAATAGAGAACTTCCTCGGTTTTCTGACATGTAAAGTAATAACATTTCTGAAATGTGAACACTCCTGCTGGTTACTCTTGCCATACTGTAACCCAAAGAATCAGGCACTGCCTAAATCTAACTCATTTTTTCCCCTCAAGGTGCCTGTCCCTTTGATTCTTGTCTCAGAGCAATGTTCTTTGTTAAACAAGATTCAAAAGAAGCAAAGTGGTTTATGTAACAGCTTTCTTAGAATGAGCAGTTAACCCTGCAGTACCTACCACTAAGAGCATTTAACCCTGCAGTCTTTTCTTTCTCTGCTCCAGGGCATATTTTAAGATACCAAGCAGCTTCTAGCATAACAAGTCAACTTTTATATGTCTCAGAACTGGAACAATTGCCATGAACTAGGCTGTTAGATGTGGCCTTCCATTCAATGAGGCATTTTTCAGTTATTTGGTTCCTGCTAGACTTTGAGGAAGTCGGTGAACACATTTTGCAGTTCATGGGACACCCGTGGCTGTGTCTTGACAGTAACAGTTCCCAAATTGTACACTGTAGAGGGAAGAAATTTGCCTGAAGACCTCAGGTCATCATTAAGCATTAACCCGTGGCTGTGTCTTGACAGTAACAGTTCCAAAATTGTACACTGTAGAGGGAAGCTAATTTGCCTGAAGACCTCAGGTCATCTTGAAGCATCAGTGTTGTTCCTAACAAGTCTTTCTTACGTTTAGTCCCAGGTGGAGCTGAACAGGAAGATGCTCGCTGACCTGGCTATCTATGAGCCGAAGACATTCAAGTCCCTGGCTGCCTTGGCTCAGAGGAGGAGGCAGGAGGGCTTCCTGGCTGCCCTGGGCGACGGGAAGGAGCCCGAGGGGATCTTTTCACGCATCGTGCACCATTACTGAGCCCAACAGAACCTCCTGCGGGCGGCCCGGGGTTGGGCTGAGGTGCGAGGCTTCATCCCCCGCGCGGTTGTGACTGAAACGCGCCGAGATATCACCCGAACGGGCGGTAGTCCGATACTACCACAAGATACGTGGCGTCTGTGCGCGTTCCTGTTGCGAATAAAGATGTTTTATTTCCCGTGGTGGCGGCTCCCGGCGGGCCCGGCCCTGAGGGAGCGGGAGGCAAGGGGAGGTGATGGCGGCAACCGGAAGTCCCGCCCCCTCGCGCCGCGTTCGAATTCCCGACCGGTGTGTCACACTCACCCCCCCTC